TGCTTTTACAGAGTTCCCTAGTCCAGCTTCGTTTAAAGCGTTTTGGATGTTTTGAAGCGCAGGGAATGTGAGGTTTATGAATGTTCCGTTGTATGATTTGAGGAATGGCTCGTTCCCAACTGCTACAAACCTGAAATAACATACATGTCTTTGCATTTGATAATGTTGTTACTAGAAACAAATCTGTAACATATCATCAGGAGATGGAGAAAACTCACGTGATATTGACACCACCACTGAAGTTATAACGAGTGACGTTCTTGCGAACCCAGTCCTTGGCTCGGTCATAACTTCCCATGACGTTTAGCTGATCATTGGGGATAGCAACCATCACTTCAAGACCAGAACCGGCAAGTGCACCCATGGTGGTCTCGTCAGCATCGAAAAGCTTGACCTTGTTGATGTTATTGTCCTTGAGCATCTTAACCACTGTCTTTGGTGGCAGCTTGTGTGTGGCCATTGTCCCCCAGTTAACTCCCAACCCATCTACCATTATACCCAGAGGACCTATTAGGATTGCTAATCCGACGAAAAGAGCCAACGGACTCACCATCCTGAGAAACAAGGGAAAGGGCTTGAGAAAATTTCAAAAAAAAAAAATACAGCCAAATAAAAGAGTAACGAAACCAATGTAATGATCATAACAAGAATAGAAACAGAAACACGCTTACATCAGAACTGTATATGTGTCTTCCTGAGTTTCCTGACTTTGTTAACCCTGCTACAACTGTAAATTATTAATCAATACACATCCAAAAACAGCGTTTTGCTGTCATAAAATGTTATTTTTTTTAAAAAGAAGAAGTAACTTCAGGCACTTTTTCAAACAGCAATGCAGCAGATTCTGATAAGTTACAATTTACTGCAACTAGAAGCAACAATGTGAATACCAAATCCATTATAGCGTGGGAGCATGATAAAGAAAAGGCAGAAGATTAGTAACGAAACCATTATTTACCTGAGTGAGATATGTGCTCTGCTTTAGCGACCCTTGGCTTAACAACTTCACAAGTCGCTATGACTCAGAGTATAGAACACACTGAGATCAATCTGGTGACACAACCAATAAAAGACAAATGTGATATGTTGTTACTTTTGAGAACAAGAGGTAACTTTCTGAAATGCTACACCTATCTATTAAACTCAAAAACAACATTCAATAACTGATGTCTCTTAGCATAAGAAGTAATGATATTACCAAATAAGAATCCAGATAAATCATTTGACACTAACAAAGTAACACAACAAAACACTAAAGCGGTTATCAAACCCTTCTGTGTTGTTCAAGGCTTACCAATGATAAATACCTATAAAGCCCAAAACTTTAGAGATATAAACACAACAAAGCTTGAAGACACCAAACCCAGAAATCGAAAAGTATCTATCTAAGCGGAAATGCAAATTGAATCAGAAAAAGTTCAAAGCTTTTCAAACGGAAAATCGACTTTGGTAACCTGAGAAAGAGAGAGAGAGAGAGATAGTGATGGGCAGAAGCAGAGAATGGAGGATGAGTAGGGAGGCTCCCCTTCTTTTCAAAATCTAAGAGACTTTTGTCGCTGAGCGGTGAAAATAAACCTAAAAGTGACGCGGTGATGTGTGTGAACTGATACTGATATTTTATCAGATTGAATAAACAATTAAAACGTTCAAAACGTAACGGATGATTGGCAACAATAAATGCTTCAGTCAAGGCTTTTACCAGAACACCGTTTGTAATGGAATTTTTTTTTTTTTTTCTAAATTGAGATTTGTTTTTAAAAAATTGAGATTTTCTTGGCAAATATCTAAGTACAGTACAATTAATGATTTTCTATAATTGCATACTCCCTCTTTTCTAAAGTGTCATTTTGACATATCTCCTGTGAAATAAAAGATTATAAAATATACTAATATACTTTCATTTAATATATAAATATTTAAAATAATTTAAATAAACATTAAAAATAGTTATGTAGAAAAAGTTGCATTGAAAATATTGTAGGACACTTTATTTGAAAAAACAAAGTTAGAATGACAATTTTTAAGAAATAGATGGAGTAGTATATGTATATATATATATATATATATTTTTTTTTTTTTGTAATTTTGTATACATGCATGTATTTTGGAACTCACATAACTATATTATCACTACAAAACTTGTAATTAAATGAACTAGTAAACTATTGAACTTGTTGTCTAATATTGGGAAAAAGAGGTTTTAGTATTATACACAAATGAGAAAGTGCTAGAAATACATTTTGAAATTACCACTATAAATTGCTTTAAGACATTTGAGATCAGTTTCAGGTTTTGTTTAGATCTTCACTACAACGAATGGAGCAATGGACAGTCAATTCTTAACAATTATCACAAGAAGCTACTTTAGATTCGATATTGTGCTCTTGGTGTGTTTTAAATTTCAACATTAGATATGATTAACCATTGAGTAATTATATAGATAAATGTCATTATATATTCTACTATATAATAATTGAAATGCCATTAAGTTGCTTTTCTTACGTGTCTTTGTGCAACTTATTTGAAAATTTTATAATTTAGTTGATAAATGAATTTTATTAATACCAGTCAGATCTAAAAATAAAAGATAACTTTAGAATCAACTAATACAAGTTACAAAATAACACAAATATATTTAAAACTAGCGCCGATCCGCCCTACATGTAGTATGAAAATTAACAAATAATTTAAGTAATTAGAGTAAATATTTAATGTAAATTTTTTTTATCTTTAAAATATATATATTTTACATTTTATTGTATTTAAAAATTAAATAAACCATGTTATCCGAAAAATTAATTATAATTTTTCAAAATAAATTTTACTCGTTGTTTTTCAAAATATGATTTTTTTTGTTAAAAGGTTTAAGATGATTTTCTTTTGTTAAGTAATCTATGTTTTAATTATATATTAGAAATTGGATGTGGCATTACATCAATCATTTCTTATGATTTTTGGAGTTGGATGACCATAAAAAAACCTCGTGAGATTTTTTTTTCATTTTTGTTAGAAGAAAAGAAACAAACTTGTAAATTAAATTCACATTTTTTCCTTTAATTTTATATACTTTAGTGGGTTATCTCATGTTTTTACTAAATTCAGTTTTTACAGTAGACTATATTCTTTATTCGCGTTATGCGCGGATTAGCATTATAAAATAGTTTCAATTTATTTTCGTAAGTTTTCCGTAATTTATAAGCAATAAACCAAAAATATCTAAAATTGTAGATAAGTTGATTTTTTTTTTGTAGATTTAACAATGTTTTTCTATAGATTTGGTGTTTTTTTTCTGATTATGCAATTACTTGGTAATACAATTACAGTGAATTTTTTTTTTTGGGTCAAAGTATCGTGTTGAAAGCTGATACTTTTCAATTCAAATTTTTGCAGTTTGAGCTTGTGTTAAAGCAAACTAGAATTTGACCTACACTCCCTTGTTGGTGTTTGATTTAACTTGTATTCAACGTAAATTCATAAACTGCTAGTTTTATAAAAAAAATATACATATTTTTTTATGTTTTGTAATTTACATATAGAGTAGAATAATATTACTTGTTATTTTTCAAAATATGATTTTTTTTGTTAAAAGGTTTAAGATGATTTTCTTTTGTTAAGTAATCTATGTTTTAATTATATATTAGAAATTGGACGTGACATTACATCAATCATTTCTTATGATTTTTGGAGTTGGATGACCATAAAAAACCTCGTGAGATTTTTTTTTCATTTTTGTTAGAAGAAAAGAAACAAACTTGTAAATTAAATTCACATTTTTTTCCTTTAATTTTATATACTTAAGTGGGTTATCTCATGTTTTTACTAAATTCAGTTTTTACAGTAGACTAAATTTTTTATCTGCGTTATGCGCGGATTAGCATTATAAAATAGTTTCAATTTATTTTCGTAAATTTTCCGTAATTTATAAGCAATAAACCAAAAATATATAAAATGTAGATAAGTTGATTTTTTTTTGTAAATTTAACAATGGTTTTCTATATATTTGGTGTTTTCTTTCTGATTATGCAATTACTTGGTAATACAATTACACTGAAATTTTTTTTTGGGTCAAAGTATCGTGTTGAAAGCTGATACTTTTCAATTCAAATTCTTGCAGTTTGAGATTGTGTTAAAGCAAACTAGAATTTGACCTACACTCCTTTGTTGGTGTTTGATTTAACTTGTGTTCAACGTAATTTCATAAACTGCTAGTTTTATAAAAAAATATTTTTTTTTTATGTTTTGTAATTTACATATAGAGTAGAATATATTATTTTATAATATAAATATTTAATAATAATTTTTTATTTATACATAATATTATATTAGAAATTTTCTAATATGATGAAATTTAATGTAATTGTACTATTCATATATTAATGTTGTTTTTGTTAATTAATTTTAAAATGAAACAGCATACTTAAAATTAAAATTTTCCATTAATTTTCTATGAATTTTCATTAATTTTCTGATATTTTTTTTTAAATTAAAATCTCAATTTTCTATATTTCACTAAATTAAATAAGGTAATATTATATAAAAAAATTAATTTATATAATATATACTATATATTTCAGTTTTATTTTCATCACAAAGAAAGAAAAATCCTTGTAATTAATTAATTTAAAAAATGACAAAATCTGTAATAAAAAGAAATACAACTTTTATAAATTTATTGTGAATACAATTGCTAATATGCAAATAAAAAGAAGTATTGAATACATTATCTATGTTTGCAAACAGTTCTCATTTATCTTAAAATCCTTATTTGCAATAAAAAGGTACTTTAGTTTTATTATATCTTTTATAATAAAGTTGGCTTTAGTCTCTTCACAATCATCCACCTCAGCACATACCATGGGGCAATTAAAGACACGTGTAACTATTCTTTTGCTGAGTTTATTTTGAATGGACTGAGTTTTTAAATGGGCTCTTAAACTTTTACTCATAATGGCCCAATAGAACTACTTTGTCATTGATCTTGGCGTTGCAGAAGAAATCATCGTGTCCCTTCAGATACAACGCCTCTAAACTACGCATGTGTAACGGCTGAAGTTATCAAATCATCTGCCACACTAAACCAAGAATTTACATGACTGTCGCCACTTCCTCCACTCTCTTGCATTCAATTGGCCTCAGCATTCTCCAAGGTAACGTATAGAAGCTCAGGTTCTTGCTACTAATACACTCGCCGAATCATCAGCAGGCGCATCACGGGATGGGTTTGCCAATCTTCATTTCATTGATATCGGCTTTGGTCCTCTCAGAGATTTTTACAACTCTCATGGAGTTTCGGAGAGATCTCAAAACGTCGACAGCCATGGTGAGTTTAGAGAATTATGACCCAGCTAATCGTATCTTTCCTTTGATCTTTTCTCTTTCATATGGTTGTTGTTATGACTACTTTTCCTGTATTCTTTGACTGGATCTCACTTTTTGTTCCAGTGGTCTTCCGACAAGCTCCATAACTTGACTTGGGTTTAGGTTTCTTCAAAGTGTAAGATCCAGAATAATTGATTTCCCGGGTTCCAGGTTATCAATATACTTTTTTTATTT